GGGAGGGAGGGGGTGGGCAGCCAGGGAGGGAGGCGGTGGGGGCCGGTTGATGAGAGCCCAACAGCGAAATCAATGGGCTTGTCCACCAGCCATCAGTTAGGGCACAATTAAGGCCTCTGGGCTTCGACGTGGGTAGGCCAGCTGGCAGTTCCGTGGGAACTCACCAAATAAACAATAATTGTAGACAATTGTGCCCCTGATAATGATTCAGAAGTGTCTTTTCAAGTGAGGTATAAATGAGGACATGGCTTTGTGTGTGGAGACAACAGGGGAAAATCAGCCCTGCAGAGACCCACGTAGGTGGGGACAGGGACGGGAGCGGCCCCACGAGCACCCGCCTGTCGGAAGATGCCCGCAGGCGCTGGGCCAGTGACCAACTTACTGTGGGGTAGGGGTGGGCGCAGAAGACCGTGTACTTTCGGATGATGCCGTTCAGCTTGAGCGGGGGAAGCCAGGACACGAAGACCATGGAGGCCGAGGCCGCCGCCGCCTTCACGCCCGCTGGAGGACCTGGGACTGGAGAGGCGAGTCGGTCAGCATGGCCCAGCGCCGCCCGCCCGCCTGCAGTGGCCCTCTCCCTGCGCGGCTGCCTAGGGCCCAGCGTGGTGGGCTCATCGCCTGCCCTCAAGCCTCATGCTGACACCCGAGCCCAGGCCCGCAGCATGGACCTTAGCTGCGGGTGGGTTTTCAGAGATGTCAAGTTCACCTGCGGCCACTGGGCGGCCAGCCCTCTGCAGGACAGGGATGGGGCGCAAAGACAGGCCTGGAGGGGTCCCGGGACCTAGAGCAACCTCCAGCCTGTCAGGGCCCTGTCTGCCCCCGCTGCATTCTGCGGGACAACACACTTCTGGCAAGGAAGCCCAGGCCCATGCCCCAGCGTTCAGAGGCCCTGGACACCGAGGAGGGCCCCCTAGGGCCCCTCTCCAACCAAACTGCTCCCAGGCGCTTGGCCCGCAATCGAGACGCTTCCAGTAGAAATGGCAGATGGCCCAGGATGGTCCATTTCACGTGGCGAGAGACGACAGCGAACTCCAATCTCTTCCCCCCAAACTCGACAAAATAAGCGTGGTCACTGGCTCAGTGCATGGCTACAGAATAACACATGTTGGCATGGATGCAGGTGAAACACCGCCGGTGAGGCGCATCCCCTGGTCACTGTAAAACGGGTCAGTTCTTGGCTTGAACTGGCCATTTGCATCGAGGAATTTTCACCCCACTTGCCACCTGGCCCTCAGCTGACCTACGATCGCCACTGACCTGTGCCCCTGCTGTACAGCCTTCCCTTGTAGGCTTCCCGGAGCCTGGGACTGCCTGCTAATGTGGCTCAGGACGGGGTGTGCGTGCGTGCCTGCGGGCGGGCGGGCGGGCGTCCTGGGTGCGTGGCTGCAGACATCCTGCTATCCGGTTATTACTCCTCACTCTCAGCTCTTCTTTCCGATATTCTACCAGAGCTTGCGAGCCGGCGGGCGGAGGAGCAAGGAGGACGTGCCGCCTCCTGCTGGCCTTCTCCCAGTGGCCACAGATGTGCTGTAGGGAGGCGCTAAGTAAATATTTGAGCTTCAGAAGCCATTTCTCTTTATACATATGCAATGTTTACATTTGCAGAAAAGAACAGGATTGAGCTACCTTCTGCCCACAGCGCTGAAATAATGAGGAGAAAGATCGTAGATTGTGTTTTGTTTTCATTCCCCTTCCTATGGTTTTGCTCAGATTATGACTATAATCACTGCCAATCAAACGGTTTTAGGATTTCACGAGTATTTTAGAATTCAGAGTCCGTTGTCCCGAGTTCAAAACCACGAAGTCGGATCAGCAAATGCTCATTTGTGGTTTTGCAGCAATAATAAAGCTGCAACTGTCACTGGTTGAGCAGATGTGGCAAGGAACTCTGATAGTCGAGAACTTCCCACAGATCTCAGAAGATGACGATGAACCAGAGACTATACGGATCTGGGATGATGCCCCTCCCTGGGCTCACGTGTGCTGGCCAAGAATCCTCACTGAGGCCGAGCACTAAGGCTCCAGGTTCACTCTCATTCAGTATCTTAGCGTAAAGCTACCCCCTGAAAAAGTAAGCCATTTATCTGATTTATTGTCAACTTCACTTACTTAATCTATTTATTATTTTATTCTAGTTCTGCATGAATCCTACCAAGTGACACACTGTCCCTTTTTAAGATCACGAGTGGCCCAGGAACCAATTTAAAACTCCAGCACTCTGACAGTAAAGGGTTGGGAACACCAGTTTAAGAAGGGTGTTGGGCACAGAGGATCAAATGTCACGTTTGTCATTAATGTATTCATATTTCTTTACTTGCAAGAACACAAATAAAAACTGGGAGTTGATCCTGTGCCTGGAATAATGTCTTCTGAGAAAGAATTAAGAAAATAAAATGGTAGCAATTATTTGGGTGGACTTCTGTGTCTTTTTACAGAATATAGCCTCAACGGCGGAAACCTTTATAGTAGACCTAGAAATAAATCCGACCTGTATCCTAGTTGGGTGAAACATTCATCCCATGAGAAATTGCCATTGGTCCTTCTTCCAAGCAGATACAAAGTTGCATTTAGCTACCTAAAATGTGCAGCTGCCTACTTGACTATTGAGGCCATTGAGGCAACTGACACTCACCATTTCTAAAACAGCGTATTTTTCATGTGACTCTGGGAGCTAAGTTCATTATTCCACAAATTTTTCCCTCCTTCTCCCTTCTCTCTGCTCTGCTTCATTCTGAAAATGCAGCTGATATATCCCAAGTAAATATTGACGCTGAGGTCTGAATCACTGTTTGTCTCACACACCAGTGCAAATGGAATTCTGCACCACCCCCCTGGACCAACTGGTGTGCCCAGGGCAGGGCTTTTCACGTCAGTCATTTCCATTTACTATCAGTATCAGATATGAAAGCAGAGAACAGCTGGTTGACCAGGTGGATTTTGGGCCTCAGGATCAGTTTTTGGGAAAGAAGTCTCTGATTTCTAAAACTGAAGGATTAACTAGGAATTGATCCAGGAGTGCCAGTCAGTATAGGCTGTGGAGAGCCTCCCTTCTGATTGCATTTCTGTGCATGCTTCTGAAAAATATGCGCTGTCAAAATTATGTTGCTGATCAATCTGCTCTTTAAATAATAATTCCAGTGACATCTGTGTTATCGCTTAGCAATGCAAAAGAACATCCTACCTCCGCTCCGAAGGAGTGGAGCTCAAATAATCAAATACCGAGTGTCAGGGACATCCCACTTTGTGACAAGCAAGGTGTTTGCACACATCACTCTACTTTTTATATCTTAGTTCTGCACTTTGATCACAGAGACAGTTCTGTACATGAGGACAGTTAGTTCAGCATAAGGTGAGGCGCTCAAAGTTCCCCGCAGCTGGTGATGGAGCCAGAGGCGGCTAAAAATGGCTCTTAGCACGTGTTTAAAAATCGTTACATCATGGCTATCTTCACTCAGGATGTGGATTGGTAGATACTTTCATAAACATGTCACTAACCACAACCATGCCCCTTTGACCTCAGATCTGCCTAAGTGATCCAATTTCTTTGAGTAGAATGGATCAACACCTACACACTCCGGTGAAGAATTACCTGCAAGTACAGAAAAACCACCAATGGGGATTAACGTGTGTACAGATCTTGCAGCGGGCGGGCGGGGGCAGTGGGGATGGCAGGTGGGTGTGGGTCGCGGGGCCGCTGCAAGCTTGCGAGGGCAGCGGAGGAGGTGGGCTGCTGTGGCGCTGGGGACATCAGGGACAGGCAGGATGAAGACCAGAGTCTATCCAGGCTGCTGAGTGGGAGCTCCCAGCTCTGTTTCCTTAGCTGACATAGGCGGCTATCAAACCCGCAGGTACTGGGAAGGCCGTGAGCGGGGAACTCACCCCGCCCTGCTTCCAGGCCAGGCAAGAGGGCAAACTATTTTACAACTCAAATCAGCACAGGATTCAGAGGCGTTTCACTGCTAATTCTGTGTACAAACTTCTAATACCTCACAGGGAAAAATCACACAAGAGGGATCATGAATCGGTAGATGAGGACCCAGAGGGGGGTGTAGGTGACAAGTGGAGTAAAAATCCCTCCATCCAAAGACAAGGTAATAGAAATAATAGACAAGACAAAATACAGAAATAATAGAGTAGAGAAGTTACTAGAAATAATCCATGGAGACAACGGATTGCTAAATATTACAGTGACCCAGAGATACAAGTTAATTATTATATTTTAATTTAAAATATACCAATAAATATTTACTCTGTAATCATTTGCTAAGCAAATGATCATTCTAGGCTCTTTAAGTTTTGGGGGAGAGCTGACAGACCTATTTCAGGTTTTGCCACATGAACTGTATGATCCTGTGCTCTGACCTGGAAAGAGCCACACAGGTATCAATTGGACATCAGCTGCTCCTTCCTTTGTAAAGGTGGAAACTATTTTTCCTCACTTTAACTCTGAAATCTACAGAATGTAAACTGCTCTTCAGACAGACCTCAACATGGCCCCTGTAAGTTTCCCTTACAGGAATTTGAAAAGGTTTGGCTAACAGCCACATGACCAAGGACAGTGAACAGCGTGCGAACAGTGGAATGGAATGGACTGAACCAAGATGAGCCACGATCTAAAAATCTCACTAAATCACCATGAATCCTTGAAGAAACTGAAAACATTAGCATGAAGCTCTCAGAGGAAGGACTTACTCTCCAGTGGTGCCCAAACTCACCTAGAATAAGAGAATTTGGGCCGTTACATAATTTTCAGAGCTGAATATACTAAACCCACATACTTAATGGCTGAGGCGTCGCTAGAATTAGAAAACAGGATGCAAAACAGGTGTGGCAAACTCTGGCATGAAAGCATTTTTGTTTGAAATGATACCTGGCCAGAAAAGGGTTTAAAAGGAGAACAATGATGGGGGAGAGAGACACCATGGAGCCATGGGTGCGGGTGTCGTGAAGTCAGGGGTCTGGACGCTGAGTACGTGAGAGGGCAGCCACGGCGTGCGTGGAGCCAGGTCAAGAGTAGACTGATGAGGGAGCCTGAGCTCGTGAGCCGAGCGCCCCAAGAACAACTCGGTGGGAGCTGCCCCTTGGCCGGGACTGCTGCCTCAGCTGGGGGGAGCGCCCCGCCCGCCCTCTCTCACCGTCCTCTTTGGTCCTGGTGAAGATCTGCTCGCTGCGGACGCCGTCCCCAGCTCGGGTGAAGGCCAGCACCTGGATGCTGTAGTTGGTGTATTTCTCCAGCCCGTCCAGCTCCAGAGAAGGCTGCGTGGTGGTGACGTTTTTGATCTCGCCCAGCTCTGCAGGACAGAAATAAGCAAAGGCCGTGGGGGCTTCGGCTGTGGGCGCCCTTCCCACGCGGCCCTGCTGGCCAGCCCTGGGCCACCCGCCACGCCACCCTGTGTGCCTCAAAGGCACGAGCAGGCCCTTCCTGGGAGCCCCCTGCCCGTCCCACACCCGTGGGTGGTGACTTGGAAAGACTGTTGATGCCGACCGGCCACACAACACGGTGGAGACTCTGTGAATTAAGCGACTCAGTCCACGTCGAGAGTCAGACACCCCTGCTGCAGGGGGAGCCCCCTCCGGGAAGGCCCCGAAGCAGCACAGCAAGCCTGCCCCCACGCCCCGCCCCAGGGCACTGAGGATGGGAGGGCATCGCTGCTCCCCGCCCTCCCGTGGGCATCGAGAAGCTTCTGCTGCTTTTAAACACGCTGCTTCGGCAGGGGTGTGCCTGAGCAGGTGACTCTCAAACAGCTCGGTGGCGCTGAGGTGGCGCCACGCATTCCTGCTCCCACCCGGAGTGACCCCACGTCCCGCTCGAGTGGCAGTCGCTGCGCCAGAAACGCGGCGCTGGCACTGCGGTCTCCGGGCGGCTTCAGCTCCGCCCGCTCGGGGGCGCGGTGCTCTCGTGCCCACCGGGCGCACCGCACAGTACAGGGTCCTGGGCGGTGGGGCGAGCCAGAGCTCGGGAGGCCTGGGGGCCGCGCACCCCCGGACTAGTGGCTGTATGGGGGGCGTCGCTGAGAGCTGCCTCATGGTGGGGTTGACTTGGAAACCCGGGTGGGCGAGGCCAGAAGGGGCCTCTTGGGAGCTGGCGCAGCGCAGGGCACCGTGGCACGCAGTGAGACGGCAGAAGCGCCGCCTGTCACCTTCTCTGTTACCCCGGCAGGTGGCTGGGGTCACCAGCCAAGTAACTGAAGCAAACCACCACCCTGTGGTCCCCAACACATTCAGCGAGGAAACTGAGGTAGAGACAGGATGGAGCCCTGGCCCAGGGCCACGCACGGCGGTCGAGAGCGCGGCAGCCCCAGGCACGGCCTCACACCACGGCCGTGACCTCGGCCATGACCTCGGCCTCCGGGCCCCGCCATGTCACGGCTCAACGGGCTTCCAGCCACCAGGCTTTCTCTCCGTTCCTGCTTCCTCTCCGCTTGTCCTTCAGGCTACTGAACGAAGGGTCGGAGTTCATGTGACTATGACACAACTGGGTTAGCTTTTGTTGTAGTTTTAGCTTTTGCCTTCAAAAGCACTAGTGTACAACTGGACAGCGTAGAAGAATTCAACTGAACATAACGCCTGGGGTGGCTGAGACTTGGCGCACTTCCCGGAGGCCTCTGGCCAGGGCGGAGCGGTCACACAGCCTGGACGCCCCGGAGCCCAAGTCCTGATACCGCCTGAGCCGACTGCTGGGGAATTCCGGGGGCCTGGCGCCTGGTCGGGAGGGTGGTCCCCAAGAGACGTCTCTGCTGTCGTGTCTTCTGGGGAGCAGGTGACCGCCTTTGGGGGGCCAGGACTAGAAGTCTCAACAGATGGTTTGTGGTGAGAAAAGGCTCACCCATGTGAGGTTGTGCGCTCATGTGAGGTTGTGCGCTCATGTGTGGTTGCGTGCTCATGTGAGGTTGTGCGCTCATAAAACCAGTTCCTGGGCCCCACATGGGTTAGAAATTCTCCTGTGTGGAGGAGGTCTCTTCCATCAGGTCTCTTCCACTCTAGTAGTATTTCAACTTTCATTCCCGAATGTATGTAATATAGGTTAATTGGATTTAGACAAAAACCCAACTGTTAATGGAAAAAGTTCAAGTGTAGATTCCGTCAAGATTTTCTCAGATTCAGAAACTCCTACACTGTGCCAGTGATCACATGCACAGACACACATTCTACATACATCGACACACCACACACATGTAACACAGCACGCACAGGTGTGTGTTCATGGACACACCCCAAACACACACCACATCCCCAACACCCCCATGACCCCTGCCGCACACACAGCCCACACACAAAACACGTCACACACCAACCACAGACACCTCACACACACGATGCACACCCCCACACCACTCGCCCACACCCACACATGGACACACCTTCCCACACACGACACATCACACACATGCACCCGCCTCACACAGCGCCCATCACGCACACAGCCACACACAGCTCACACACACACTCCGCACCCCCACACCACGCCCACACGCCCACACACTCACCCCGCCATGCGCTCGGGGAGGAGCTGGGGTGCCGGGAGCTGGGGAAGCCTGACCCCGGGGCCGCTCGCCCCTCATCCGCACCTGTTGGCTTGCCTCGGTCTGTGGGAGGGGCTGCGAGCGCGGGCTGGCGAGGGGAGTTTGCGCCCACCTGGCTCCAGGTGTGAGGCGGGTTGCTCCGGGGGGGAGGAGGCGGCACCCCCTCTCGGAAGGAAGCCACGAGTGGAGCTAAACCTCCCTCTGCCCCAGGCTGACCACACTACATGGACTCAGCGGCCAGATGTTCTCAGAGAAGGGGGTTCCCGCTGGGTGGCTCATCGAGACCCATGAAGCCCACTTTGGAGTCACCCCAGAGACCCTGGGTGCCCTGAGCCGGCGTCGGCTGCCCCCACAGAGACGCGGGTTCCCCAACAGGGGCTCCCTGACAGTGCAGAGGAGGGAGGGGACGCAGAGGACCGCAGCGGGAGGCTGGGGCGGCCGGCCACACGCTGCTCCCCTCCACGGCTCCTCCCGGCCCCCACAGGGCTGGCTCAAGGGGGCGAGTGTCCCGTGGCCATCATGAGCAAACGAGTGGGAGCACATTTAGGCATCACGCCAGTTCTACTGCAAGATCTGGCCACCTCGGCGGGCGTCCCATCTCTGAATCCCGCCCCGACGCGCGGCCACCGCTCGCCCCGGCCTGCGAGCTGACCAGCGCTATGGCGCCTGCGGGCCCGGCCACAGCG